AGGCCTTTGAAGACCTGAGCAAGCTGATGATCAAGGCTAAGGAAATGGTGGAGTTATCAAAATCAATCGCTAATAAAATTAAAGAAAAGCAAGGCGACGTCACAGAAGATGAGGTGAGGGAGCTTTTTTTTTTTTTTTTAATCTTTACAGGGTTAGACACTGGATAGAATACAGCGATGTCCTTGAGGTTGACCAGTACTCTTCCCTCCCACTGAGCTATGTCTGTGGCTTCTCACAGTTTTCTGCTTTCTATTTTATTATTATTATCATTATTATTATATTTATCTATCCATCTATTTATCTTTCGGGGCAAGCTGTGCTACAGCATGCATGTAGTGGTCAGAGGACAACCTGTAAGAACTGTTTCTCGCCATTCCATTTTGGAGGTCCTGGGCATCCAGTTCAGGTGTTTAGGTTTGCTGGCAAGCACAGCTGCCCACTGAACCACCTCAATGACCCTGCCTTGTTAGTGTAATGGTTTTATTCCTTGGGTTAGGTGAATGTGCTAAGGGGAAATTAGGTCATACTCTTTTTTTTTTTCTCTCTCTTTTCTTTTTTTTCTAGTTCTACAAGGACTCAAGATTATTTCTTTCTTATAATGTAGAAAATAATGTTATTGAGATGTCTGAAGAGTAGCTGTTTCGTACAAGTCTGTTTCTGATGCCTGCTTTCTTAAGTTTGGCCATAATCTGGTCATATCCATTTCCCCCTTGTAAGTTTTTAGTTTTAGCATTTGGTTAGCATTAAAAATAGCATAATTATTACCTAATTTACCTCTCACACAAAACTTTGAAAATAAACGGTGTGGCAGACTGGGATAGAAGGAAGGAGAATCACAATTTGTTCAAGGGACGACTATGAAGTTCACTGCCTTGTCGTTCACAGCATGGAAACACAGAAGACATGGCTATATAGAGAAATCATGGAGCCTCATTGAGTTTGTGATGAGGAATCTCAAATGTTGTGAGGAGAAGCTAACGTTACAGTCTGCTGATGCATTCCTCTCTTCTCTTACAGACCATCAGGTTTAAGTCGTACTTGCTGAGTATGGGAATAGCCAACCCTGTTACCAGGGAAACCTATGGCTCAGGCACACAGTACCACATGCAGCTGGCCAAACAGCTGGCTGGGATATTACAGGCACCTTTGGAGGTAGGTAAAGCCAAACCCCAGCATACTTTCAAAATTGTGGCAAGTTATTTTCATGTCATCAGAATCTCAAGAGCCTGTTTTTTTTTTTTTCATGGTGTGGCTAACATTAAATGATATTTTTATTCTTTCAGGAATATTAAGTATTATTAACTATTATTATGGCATTCCTTAATTCTATACTTTCTTCCTTTACTAAGTAAAATGAATTAAAACATTAAATACACATTAAGTTTTGTTAGCATTTAACGACCCTTCCTCTGAGAGGCTTCAAGCCACCAGGCTCCTTGGTCCCCAGTACCTTCTGTCTTCTTCTCGGCTCTCATGCAGAGGAATCAGGGAGGTTCTCCAAGACTCTGTCATAGCCTCTGTGCACTTGCCCGCGATGAGGTGGCTCCAGGCTTATCTTCTTATGTCAGTTCACCAACCAGTGTCACAAGGCTGAGAATGTGGCAGAGGCTTGCTCCTTCTCTGCCTCATGTGGCTGTGCCTCATCCCACTCTTCCTGAATTAGCCAATGTCATGCTTGTTGAAGCTCACCCAAATAGTGACACACGTTGCCAGCATTACTCTGGCCTCTTGGGTGCTTCTGGTGCTTATCAGTGTGGCTTCGGTGGCGACACACATGGCCTCTTAAGTTCTCAGATTTTTCTTGATCTGAATCACAAGTCTGCAGTCAGAAAACCTAAGCACACCTTTTGGAACATGGTATACTTCCCTTCTTTTCATTTAAATCATATTAAAGTCCATATATGAAATTTGAAACACTACAAAGTATGTCAGTAAGCTCTCTGGTATATAATAAATACAGCTTTTTAAAGGAAAGCAGTGTTCTAATTTGTGATTTCGCTCAGATTGTGATCTCTGTTAAGAAGTGCTAAGTGCTTGTTGTTCTTTCTGATCTAAACAGGAACGTGGGGGGATAATGTCACTCACAGAGGTGTACTGTTTAGTGAACCGGGCCCGAGGAATGGAGGTAAGAAGAACGTTTTTAGATGACCTTTTACTAAAGCTCCCTTCTCTAGTGAGTACACACTGAGGAAGGGTACATCAGGGCTATTTTCAGAAGCAAAATGGTGAAAGAAAAAAAGGTTGACCTAGGGTCCAAAAAATAGATTATGTTCCTGGTTCTGCCAGTGACCACTGAGCAGCCTTCCACGTTGCACGACACTGTCTTGGACCTTAGTTCTGTTACCTTGAAGTGAGTGATGCCATCAGTTCTATGTTCTGTGTTTGCACTGGATGAATGGAAGCTTTTCTCTGTCTTTGACACAAGCTCAGCTGGACTCGACTTTCTTTGTAGATGGTGCAGAGACAAAGCCCCCTCACTCCTTTGGCTGTGTGTCCGATACAGCTGTGTGTCCGATACAGCTGTTCTTTAGACCCTTAGCCAATCACACCTGGTGCATTGTCCTCTGACACTCTCTCCTGGTCCAGTGATACCCCGCAGTCCAGTGCAGACTTGTGTAAGCAGTCACTTCATATGACTCATGGGTGTCTTTCCAACCTTCTCCCAAGCCCCATGAATGCAGCCGTCCTCATGTCACCAGACACAGGGTTGTCCATCAGCACATGCCACCTGTTTCTTCACTTACCCTCAGTGACTCGGTGACACAGCTACTCTTACTATCCTCGCCTTGAAGATAATTTGGGGATGAGGAAATTAAGGTGTAAGTAATTTGACTGAGGTCGCCTGGAGACAGCGGTTTAACCGGTATTGTACTTAGGCTTGGCTGGCTCCGGAGCCATCCCATGTGACTCATCACTATGCTTGTGTCACCACAGCGCTGATTTATTAAGGCCATGTTATCTAAAACAAAGGCCACTGGTAACTACATGTAACAGGTGTGAATTATAATGCAGAGATAAAATAAGCAAAGGTCAGCATCCATGTCAAAAACGTGTCATTGTTATTATTTATGACAGAGCTGACATGTGAGCCCGGAGCCTTCACACGCTAGGCCAGGGTTCTACTGCTCAGCTACACCCAGCCCTTTTTCTGTCTTGATTTTTATGTGGGTCCTAGAAATTGTGAAGTCGTGGCCTGCACTGTGCTGCTGCAGTGGAGTTTTTGGCTTCTTTCTTTATCCTTTTTGCCTTATGATTGAGTTATCTGCAGTACTGGATAATACTTTTTTTTTTAACTTTATAAAAAATTTTTAATTTTTATTATTAAAAAAATAGCTTGAAAATAAAACATCACATACCAGAATTAACCAGACTCAAAGCCTGCATAACTCAACAAGCTCTCTTGTGGTTAGAATTGACACGCAAACTGAAAGCTATGAGGCTTCAGATGAAATGTTAAATTTTTACTATCAAGGATATTTTATATACTTATCCACCATCAAAACCAAAAATCCGGTGACAGAATTATAACTAGAGAGATAGTTAGCATTTTATCCTCTTTCCTAACTTGTGTCCATCACCTGCTTCGGTTCTTCCTCATCCTGTTAGGTTAGCCTTTCTTGTTCTTTTTCCTCCTGTTATATGGTACCCACATGTGCATTTCTTCACATACACACACACACACACACACACACACACACACATAGAGGCTAGCTTCCACATATAAGAGAGCATGTAGTTTTCTGAGAATGAATGACGTCAATTAATATTTATATATTCTAAGTCCATCCATTTTTCAGCAAATCTTTTACTCTATTTTTCTTTAGAGCTGAATAATATTCCATTTTAGTTCCAACTTAAGTGCACACACACACACACATAAAGTTTCATTATCCACTCCTTTGCTGATGGACAAGTCAGTTGAATTCAGTTCTTTGCTATGGTGAGTAAAGCAGCAATAAACCATGGGGTACAAGTGTCTCATGGAAGATAGGCAGGTCCCTGGGTGTATGCTAGGAGTGAAATGACTGGGCCATATGTCACTGAGTTTTTATCTGATTTGTAATTATTACAGTTATATAGGACCACTCTGTCGATTTTCAGTGTAAACTGGATTTCTTTTCCTCATTAGTTGCTCTCACCAGAAGATCTAGTAAATGCATGCAAGATGCTGGAAGCACTGAAATTGCCTATCAGGTAAAGGAATCCTCTCGGGAATCTTCAACTGTAACCATGGTCCTCCACAGAGCAGACCTGAGAGTCTACCCAAGCTTTACACTGCATGGCAAGCCAAAACGATGGCCTCTGGAGGTTATGTTGTATGTGATCTGAATTCACCTGTACCGCAAGCGTCTGCTGTCCTCTTGCCTTCATTCTATCAGGATGGGTGTGTCCTGGGGCAGATCATATTCACACTCTTGTGATTTCCAAGAGGAAGCTCAGGAACCTTCAGCGGTGCACATGCCCGATTCTGAATTGCCCGTTCCTTCTCCTCAGGCTAATATCACCTCAAACCAGAAAAACCTTCTCATGTAGGTTGTAGCTCATTGTCTTACTGTCTGTTAATTCTGGAATTCTTGAATTCTGTCATGGTTACATGTACCCATTATGGCTTAAACATTGTGTGATTGTCCTCAGGCTCAGGCATACAATCAAACAGAGCACGGCTTGCCTCTCCTTTGTGGTTGAGCATCGTACATGTGTCCACACTTTGTTCTCGCTTCTGTGTTTCCAGGCTCCGGGTGTTTGACAGTGGTGTCATGGTCATTGAGCTTCAGACACACAAGGAAGAGGAAATGGTGGCCTCAGCCCTGGAGACAGTATGTGAATCCCGTTTCTTTCAGTCCTTAGAGCTCGTCACAAAGATCCAAATGCATAGCCACTTGAGAAGCAGGATTTACTGTTGAGTTTACCTTTGCTAAAAAGGCACTCACAGGCTTAGTGGTTTGTGATTGATAAGGACGTGCCCATTTAATCAGCATCCATAGTAAACGTTTTTGAAGTTTCTGTCCCTCTAAACATCATCATCATCATCACCATCACCATCACCATCACCATCACCATCACCATCATCATCATTGAAATAGATTCTTCTCTCATACAACACAGCCCCACCACAGTTTCTCCTCCCTTCCTGCTGCTCTCCCTGCTCTCCTCCTCACTCTTCCCCTCACCAAATCCACTTCCTGTTTCCCTTCAGAAAAGAGCAGGCCTGCAAGACACACCCACCAAAGGCGCTTGCTTTCTTGTTGAAGCTCAGCATTGGGAAGAGGTTCTCAAGTCACACTCTGTCCTGGACCTGATTATAACTCTGTGTGCTCCCACCAGGGCATGTGATGCAGAGTTGACTGTGGTCCTTTGCTAGGTTTTCATTAAGGGCCTCCTTACATCATGAGCAGCTTGGTGGTGTTCTGTAGCCTCCGCTCTGCCTGTTCTGAGTCCATCAACTTCTATAGAATTGATCGCTTCAACTTAGTCCTATGGGACTGAGGAGATGACTCAGTGGTTAAGAACACTTGCTCTCCCCCAGGACCTAGGGTCAGTTCCCAGAACCCTCATGGTAATTCACAGCCAGCCACAACTCCAGTTCTAGGAGATCTGACCCCCTCTTTTGGTCTCTAACGGCACCAGGCACAGATATGGTGTACCTCCATGTAGGCAAAATACTCAGGTTCTTAAGTAAATCTAGAAATAAAAGAGGTTTAGTTTTATAGTGACTATTTGGGTTTTAGGAGAAAATCCAGTAAAACATTTCCTACATGTTCTGACTCTATATTCCTCTAAGTGTCCCAGGTCGATCACACTTGCTTTGTTGGCTTGCCTGTTTGTTCATTTTGGTTTGTTTTGTTTTCTGCTGCGTGGTGCCACTAGGTTTCAGAAAGGGGATCCTTAACTTCCGAAGAGTTTGCCAAACTTGTGGGAATGTCTGTCCTTCTGGCTAAAGAAAGGTAAGGAAGCCCTTGCCCCCTCGCCATGGTATGTGTTGTGTTTCTGAGTGAGCAGATCACTGTGGGGTTTTTTTTTTTTGTTCCCAGGCTGCTTCTTGCAGAGAAGATGGGCCACCTTTGCCGAGACGACTCCGTGGAAGGCTTGCGGTTTTATCCAAATTTATTTATGACACAGAACTAAGAATTTTGTACCTGAAATATTTTTTTGTCAACGTGCTTGCATTTTGCCAAGGTCTCATGACGTTGAGCTAAGAGATAAACCCAAAAAAACCAAGAATTTGTTAGAACTTCACAGTATAATATAAAACTCTGAATCTCTCCCAAAACATGGTCTCAGAAACTTATTTAGGGTACACATAGGAAAATACATAAAAATGAATATGCATTTAAAGTCATGCTATAGCTGTGTAGAACTCCTGGGAAATAACTTGAAACCTGGTGGATATTAATTTGATCCTGAGTTCAGGTCCTTGGAGGAAGAAAAAGTCAAGTTGCATGTTTGGATAGATCAGGTAGTCATTTTGCCATGACTACGCCTCACCGAATTGTAAATGTTTTCCTCTGCATCTAATGTGCCCATCTTTGGGGCAGGCATGAAGGAAGGGGGCAGCTACACTGTGGTTTAAGAACCAACAGCACTGAAATAAAAAAAAAAAAAAATCAAGCTGCAGAAAGCCGTATCAGGCTCTTCCTAGGAGGCATTGGAAGCAGATTTAGGCATGCCTCTACCAGATCAAATAAAATATCTTTGGAAAAGGAGAGGGCTGGCCTAGGATGCAGAGGCCTTGGGCTTTCGACCTACCACCCCTGGGGAAGGAGGGGGTAAGGAAATGTTATGCATTTACTCCTCAGGTTCTTTTTAGTTTTTAAGCGATAATTTCATGAATAGCATTTTTAAAGTCTACAGGAGTATCATTTTATTTACGAAATGTGGACTTTGAAACGGAAGTAAAGAGCTGTATAGACAAGCCCCGAGTTGTAATCCCAGTAGGAGAGTTGGAAAGTTCTGGTTCTGGAAGGGCATGAAGTGCATAGGACCTTAGGAACATATGTGAAGCTAGGCTGTGAGATAGGAAAAGGTTAGCAGATCTCCTTTCTCTTCTCACAGGAAGTCTCAGTACTCAGCCAGAAGCATATTCCTATCATAGGCCAGCCATGTTCCTTTCTTCTGTGCCCTCCATGCCATCCGTTGCTGATAACAGAACCTGGCTAGCACCACCTCCAGATTGCTGGAGCTTTAAGTAGGTTGCCCGACTTCATATGTATAGCATGGTGACATTACCTCAAACTCAGAGCCTGTAGGACAGAAGGTGACCGCCTTTTGGAGACTGAGCTGGAAGTGGGAAGGCGGTAATAGTGTGGCCTTGGAACCACAGGGAGGGACTCGAAGGCATACTCCCTGGGAGTTTGAGGATACTCTGGACAGAGTGGAGGCTACTGCAGATGACCTGTGGAGACGTACCAGTGTCCTCAGCTGCAAACCAGGGAGCTCCACCCTGACACCTTCCTGGAAAGTGACTGTTGCTGCCTCTGTTCTCCAGTGTCATGAGACCGCTGTGGCCATGGCTGCCTTCTTAGTGTGGGTTTTCCAGTCTGTCATTGATGGTGGTGACGTTAGATCTCCCCTAATCACCTCATTCTTTATCTCAGGGTTACTTGAGGGTTAATTCAGAGTTGGCTACCCAAATCTTCTAGGGATTGGGTAGACCAGTGTCGGTTTATTAGTGTGTCTCGACTCTCTCTGGGATGCACATAGTCCATCACATGGGCCTGATGCTCACACACACACACACATACACGCACGAGCACTCACTCACCTTGTCAAACTAAGGTTCTTCAAATCCACAGGTCACTGATAACCTGTTTTAGCACTTGGACTGGTTGTTGAGTTGTAGGGGCTACTGGATCTAGCTCTAATGGTTTGGCATCACCACAGTAAACATACTACATCTGTTTATTCAGTGTGACAGGAGATTAACAAAAATGGAGCAGTCTGATTTGTAGAATGTGGAAAAAAGATGAAGTGACATAAACATACTTTGAAAAAGTCACATTGATTAAAAAGAAGAAGAAGGAGGAGGAGGAGGAGAAGGAGAAGAAACAAACATTGTTTGGGTTTGTTGTTGTTGTTGTGTTGTTTTTAAATCACTGTTTCTGGACCTTGGTTTATCCTTTGGCTCTTCTTTTCTTGCCCAGTGTGTCACTGTGGTCCTTTGGTACTGGCTGTGTTTAAATACAAACCATTCAAGCCCTGGGTGCACAAATGTCCTGCTCTTGGTGCTCATCACTGTCACTTTTGTTTTCCTGACTTTGCTCTTAGGAGCATGGGTATGTAAGTGTATGATAACGAATAGTTTAGTCACTGTCAAGAAAATGAATTTATGCTGTATAACTGAAGGCTGTTGTCAGGGTTAGATGATTCGTATTGATGTATACACAGTAAAATTATTGTAAAATTTTAAACTGATTTTCTTAACTTGATGTTCTTTTTAAAATTTCTGTAAAATACATGAAAGTGATAAATGTTTAGTCACACTAAGTCAATATGGGAATTTTTCTGTTTTATGATTAAGCATTGCTTGCTGGTTGTCTTTGAGATTTTATAATTTAGTTACCTTAAAAAATGGGAGATGAGTTACGAGTTGTTTTATAACTCTTGATTCAGACCTCACTGTGGACCAACCATGTGTGTGCATTCACGTGGATGTATTACCTCATGCCCCTGGTTACCAGACTAAGCTGACCGGGACGTGTGGTCATCATTGCCAGAGGCAAATACTTAAAATGGTTATCTTCTGCACAACAGTCCCTGCACCTTTATTTTGGTACAATGGAGTCACAGCTTGTTCGGTGACTAGGTTTTGAAAACTTACTAAAGTCAAAGTCAAGCACGCTCAGAGGGACTCGGAAGACCTCTTAAATTGCCAGTAGAGTTGCTTCTACGGTCTTACAGTGTGAGTTCTGGGAAATGATACGTAGGTATGCATACAGTAAGCGCAGCATATGATGATGTGTGTGCCAACGGTGGGCTTTTAACAGCACTTGCACGGTTTAGATGTGTATAATGCCCTTTTGACCAATAGCTGTAGTTGGACTTATGTAAATCTGTTGTCAGTCCTATCCTTTGTGATAGACCCAGAGGGCAAGCTTAACAAAGACAGGTTTTCCCAACTTGTTCATGGGAATATTCCAGAGTCAGGACAAGGTCTGCCACACAGTAAGCATTCAACAAAATGATCTTGATACACACACACACACACATGGTTTGGTTAAAAATACGTTATTTTTTTATAATTTATTTTATAATTTTATGTAAGAAACTCTGAGAAGGGTGACCTCATTAGGAAAACAGCCACAGAATCGACTTTCGCTAAAGGTAGAGATTGCAGGTGTATACTGTCACACCTGGTTTAAGGAACCTTATCAATTTTTTTTGTAATTTTTTTCCTTATTTTTATTAGTTCTATGAGAATTTCATACAATGCATTTCGATCATAACCCCCCCCCTTCTCCTACTCCTCCCAGAGCCAACCCCCTCTTTCCCTGCCTTCTGTCTCTCTCTTTAAAAACCCGTCAGGGGCTGTAAACCTTAAAGAAAACTGACTCTCTTCCCAGTAGCTACAGATCGATGGGTAGGACCTCAGCCCAACTCCTGTCACCACGCTGCGGTTTGGGCTGGCTTGAGCTTGTGCAGATCTTGTGCGTCTCAACTGATGTAAATCCATATGTACAACTGCCCTGCCGTATCCAGGAAACACTATTTCCTTATACCCACCCTCTGCCTCTGGCTCCTCCAGCCTTTTAGCCCCCCTTCTCCCCCTTCTCCGTGACCCTGTAACCCTGGGAGGAAGGGATGTGATATAGATGCCATGTTTAGGGCTGAGAATCCCACAGTCTCTTACTCTCTGCACCTTGAACAGTCGTGGGTCTCTGTTAATTGCCATCTACTTCAAAAAGAACCCTCTCTGATGAGGGTTGAGAGATGCACTAATTTACGGGCATCGTGATAAGTCACTAGGAGTACTTTAATACTGTGTCCACTTAGGAGAGTAATAGTAGTAGGCTCTCCCCTGGGGCCTATGACCTGTCTAGCTACAGGTTCTTGACATTGATAACAGTACCAGGTATGGGTTTGAATTTGTAGAGTAGGCTACGTGGTTGTTACTCCCAGGACAGTTGAGCCCCTACTGGACCAGTGGACACACCTTGCCTGGCCAGTAATTCTTAAGCTCTCAGGATTCGAAGTTCAATGAGATTGGTGATTCCTTTTCTCCTCTGGTAGCATGCATAGAACATTCCAGTGTTCTGGATGTAGGGATGAAGCTTCCAAGTGAGTATTTAATGTCTCCGTGTTCTGTGACTCAGGTGTGTGGCAAACACCATAGGATAACCAATGGAAAACCTAGTGCCGAAAACAGGTTACCTCTTTTGGAGTTGTTGTCACATGAGGTCCCATAGACCCCCAAACATGTCCTGTCGCCAGCGGCTGCTCTCTGGAGCCCACTGCCTGGATGCCAGGCTCTGGAGCTTTGGCTGATAATGATAATCTCATCTCAAAGGGAAGAAATTGTCCGGTAAGCTGAAGAGGCAGGCCCACTCATGAAGACAATCCTGTTTCTGGTGTGTGCCTAGGTCTGTCCAGACTTCATTCCTTACTGACTTCCACCCATAGTAGGCTAAATCGTATCAAGCCTTGTACCATCCATCCTGCCATAGAAAAACCCATTTCCTGGATATATAGCTCTGTTTTTAAAGTTTCTAAAAGTTGCTGTCTTCCCTATATATTTAACTCTATTTGGTCTTGTTCTTTTAACATTTGCTTTGAGGCCACAAGGAAATAACCGAGTTTCTTTAAGTTCAAAGATTGCCAGTTGTCATATCCTAGGTGGCTCAGGTTCCAGAACCCTGGCTGGGGAGGAGAGGGAATGAGGAAAGGAGACACATGCATGGATGACACGTACTGTGAAGCATACATGCACAGATAACATGCACTGTGAAATTCACATGCACAGATAACATGCACTGTGTAGCACACATGCACAGATAACATGTACTGTGTAGCACACAT